GGTAGGGCGAAATTTCAAAAATTTCTCTCTCTCCCATGTGGGAATCACATTCCCTGTTTTAGAAAATCAGTATTTAAAAGGATGAATCTTGAACCAAGAACCGGACCAGATCTGAAACCAAAAGGTAGGAGAGGGAGGTACCTGATACGAAGAAATAATATCTCCCAATGAAGGTGTTCACACCCAAGGAAAACTCCAAAGACTGCTCCCACTGAAGATGACACAGTGTAGGGTGGAGTAGAATCAGCAGGTTCTTCACAAGAACCAAATCCTTCAACAAGAATTCGATGGAGGGTATGTGAGCACAACTTCAGATCAGTTTTTCTCCAAAAACTGATATCAAGAACCTTTCTTGATTGCTCCTACAGTGGAGATCGAACTGGCAATGGTGGCAGCAAGAGGAGGGCGCAAGAGCAGAAGATGGCGCAGTCTTACTGTAGTTGTCTTCTCTCTTTCTGTGATCTAAGATCAGTTGTGTTGAGATGAATGGAGGTTCGCCCTCCTCCTCYTTTTATAACCTTAAAGAGAGTTCCTAATCCAAATCTGTATTTGAATCAGAAGTTCTCTTTAAGAGACAAGGATAAGCCCTTATCTTATCTGCAAATTAGATCAACCCTCCTAATCTCATTAGGAACTTCTTGATCCAAATCTCTATTTGGATCTAGACTCTCTAAGTGGATAGGGATAACTCCCTATCCTATTTGCTAATCCAAATCCCAGATCCGCCCCCTTCTTTAACTTATCAAATTAGACAAGTTCGAATTGGGCTTTAGACCCATTAAGTCCATGTGCTCACTAACCTTCTAGACTGCTGCCCAGTTGGGTTTCCTTGTATGGCGTGGGACCCAAACATTGATATACACATCAGCCACATGGATTCAGCCTAGCCTTACAAGGTCTGTCCGAATTTACTGTTATGGATAGTGAACCCCTGAGCCCATCAGCATGGGCTCTTAATAGGCCCAACACTTACACTAAGTGGTCCCTGGGCCAAGCCACCTTATAAAAAACCAGGGACTGTGGGCAGATGCAAGATTAGCCCATTAGGTATTACCCTCAATGGTCTTACACTTAACTTCTCAGCCCATAATGATCAAACACTGCCCAACAAGAGAGGACCTCTCCCTCGGCTGCAAGGAACAGTGCTGCACTCTCTACTCACATGAATCCCGAGAATTAAAATTTTAACGATTGAAATTGGCAACCGGCAGCTTCGGTTTCCATTAGAGAGAGTGCATCCCCGACCATTACCTTTGTCTGACAAAGGGGCTGATCCTGCCACTATGATCACCCACTCAGATGAATTCTTGGATTGTCCCAACATACCCAAGTTTTGACCCCCTCTAAGGATCTCACTGGTTGGCATATCAAAGACAACCCAATCCGACACCAAGTGCAGTATCATAATTGAATATAGGGGTTAGGTGTAACATTCCAGTCTTACCCACTAATCACCAAAGTCCAGGGCAATACTGGAATTCTGGTCCAATTTAGGGTTTCAAGTAAACTTACACTGCATGTACCTCGGGTCTCACCCTAGCGGCTGAGACAGGCTATCCCAACCAACTTGGTGGCATATCAGTGTCAGCCTTATCAGGATAAATCTCCCTAGATCTATCCAACGGCTGTGAACATTCTAAACTAACACGAGTCTCATATGTGTCCAATTTAAGGGTATTACGCAGAAACACACCATAATAACATGAATCAAATATGTAGTTTATTCATTTACATTAAATGTCATAAGGTACATCATTCGATTGGAGCTAAGGGCATACGCTGTCTAACAAGATAGATAGATATACCACGTTAGAGTTGCTTTCATTGCTCCAAACTCCCTTACCAATTTTCTCCTTTTCTTTAAACTAGAGAATGAACCCCCATCCTAAGTATGGGGTTAGTATTCTATTTTTTTTTCTTTTATTCATTGTAATTTATGTATTTTAATAAACTTTGTTTGGCACTCATTTTTTGTTATTTAATGTAAAAGATTAAATCAAGTGTTATTTCTAAATAATAACTCACTTTGTGGATTTTACATCATTTAAAATAAGTTTTTTTTTTCTTTTTAGTAGAGGTTACTCCCACTAACCTTTTTGATTGTGGAAGTTCCATTTGAAGCTCATGCTTTTTTAGTGGGTAGAGACATGTTTGAAAAAGCAAGTTTTTGTTTGAAAGGGGGAATAACCATTTTTGAGATGCTCTTTCTTGAGAAAATAAGATGCTACTTGTTTGAGTGAGAAGCTCTCTAATCTCATATATAAATATATCTATGAGAGGTGAGAGACGTTTGGACTTCCAAAATGTCTCCCACCCTCTCCTTTCTATTCCCTTCCAGCTATCTTTTGAGACATTTGGAATGTCTCAAACATCTTCTCCCCCAAGTAACCCCTTACAAGTGGTTCACACCCTTTCAAAAAATATTGGCATCTCATAGCCTAAATAACTCTCCCAAACATCCCAAATGTCTCTCACCAATCACAAGTTCATTTTCTTCATTTCAATTTTTTTTTCTGTTTTTGTGTAGTTATTTGAACTCTCAACAATCATTTTTTGTTAAACAAGATCAAGGGTATCTCAACATCTTAGAGGCATTATAACTCTATTAGTGTCTTACCATTCTAGGTTTGTTTTCTTTAAATTTTTTTTCAAGTTACATTTTCTTAACTCTTGTTAGTTGTTTCTAGGGTAACCAAGCATAGTAGAGAATATTAAGGGCTTGTTGATTTGCTAGTAAGTTGAGCAGGGGAGTTGGTCAATGGGAAAAGCTAACTACCTTTCCTACATTTGTTTGGTAAACCATGCCAGACCCATGGTATGTAAACTTTATTCTGACTAAATTATTTGGTCACTTGGGAAACACTTTCTCTTCTCTTATCTAGGTTTTCCCATCATGGAGGGAAAGAGGTCAAAATCAATTAGACTAAAATGCTCTTTCAAGAATAGAGATTGGAGCACGAAATTTTCTTCTCCTTAATTTCCCAACCTTGTTTGAACCAATCACCATTAATACAGGGGAGAACCTCCTTCCTTCTATCTAGTTAAAACACCATTATAACATAATAAAATTAACAAAATAAAAAACAACTGTTCAACTAAAAATATGAAAATATTTATGCAAATTTATAAGATGAGTTTAACCCACTTCTAATGAGTTTATCCCATTCTACCCTATTAAATAGGCTTCTTAAAACAAGGCCATGTTCACTTTTTAGGAAGTTACTTACTTGGGTAAATGCACTTACCTGGGTAAGTGTTTCCTAGAAATCACTTACTCGGGCAAGTGCATTTACCCATGTTCTTTTATTTCCCAGGTAAATAAGACAATGGCTGTTTTATCCATAAAGATCCATTATTAAAAGGGGCAATTTTGTTTCATTTACGTATAGGCAACTTTCCCCCTGAGTGGGAAAGTTACTTGACCATGCACCCAGGATATGGGTATCACTAAGGGAAATTAAATTTTCCATGAACCCCACATAAATCTAAAAAAAGATCATGGGCATCTTGGTCAATGGGAACCAAAATCCAATTGACTAACTTTCCCCCTCTTAAAATTCAAAAAATAAACGTCCCTTAAATGGTCCAAAATTGTTCATTTTGATCCAAGGATAAAAATGATAACATATGAAAAAATGATCAACTTACTCACAAAAATGGTTGAGGCAAAAGAATATGGATAAGGTAAATTGTCTCATTCAGATATGACAAAATAATACTACAAATGAGCAAGGATTGAGAAATAATAGAAAGAGTAGAAAATAGGGTAAAAAAACTTAAATCTCCCCTGAGATTTTGGGCAAATACTTACACCTCCTTTCAAGTTTCTAAGGGGACTTAAACCTCCCTTGCTACAATAATACGTTGTTATATTTGATATAAATGATAAAAAGACATTTATACCCTTTACTATTTTTCAAATTTTCAAAGAGAACCACTGATATTGGATCAAGTTCATTAAAAAGAGAGAAAAAAATATGTGAAGACAAGAAATGATGTAATCAATGCATGGTGCTGATTTGCAACAACATCAACAACAACCACAACCATAGCAACAACAACATTGCCTACAACCATGGATGGTGATGTAGTACTTGGCGACGACACCGATGATGTAGCATGAGATTATGCCGCAACATTATCCACAACACTACATGCCTTACCATTATCAATAATAGCAACTACAAATACAACAACAAAGATCCATTGATGAGAATAAGATGATTTGGATTTGTAATCTTCATTACTAGATGGGTGAGAGTTACTATTGGACTTTCATCTCATTAGAGATTAAATCCATTTGGTATTTAGTAGATTAATTACATAACAAACGACACCTACACTTGCACTTTGAAAAATGGTTTCAAAGTTCTTATCAAAAGTCTTTGTTTCAACTTATTTTCTATTCCTTTTAAGACATGTCCCACATTAAAAAATTACTAAACTTTCTGTAGGGTTTTAAATAAGAGCTTGCTTACACTCCTTAGAAGTATAGAGACTTGCTATCGCACAATGTGTGTGATGCATTTGTAATGAGGCGCTTTAGAGGCACACTTCGTGTGTACCCACATGGTTCGTGTGAAATGATGGTATTTTTGGTGTGATGACACTTGATGTGATGAAATGATTTGTGATGACATAGTGTGAAATTGTAGACTACAAATTTTGCCAAATCGCAAGTTGCAAATTGGGAAAAATCGTATATCACAAATTATATCATTTGTGAAATCACAAAACCACAGGTTGGAACTTGTGATTTGCTAATTGTGACAAAAAACCGCATTTGTTTCGAACCGTGCATAAAGGGGTATTTGAGTCTTGAAGGACGAACCATGACCATTGACATTTTAAGTTAATCCAAGGGTCATGACTTGATTGAGTGTAAACATTTAGGTGGTGTTCGGTTTCATGAAACAACCACGAGATATTGTGTTTTGGTCTGCACCACAGTTGCTTAGGACGTTCGGTTGGTTCGTGGTGTGAACCAATCCACACTATCTCATGGATTGGTCCACGCCAATTTTTCGTCCACAGTTTTATCTCGTAGATTAATCCACGCTACCATGTTGTATGGGATGAGCAGTTATCCCATACTTCACATCTATATTTACCTAAAATAAACCTACTTTATTTTTACTGTTGCAATCTGTCACAGAGAACCGCCGCTGCCCCTGTTTCTTCGTTTTCCACTGCAACTCCGACCACTGCTTCTTGCTTCACCACTCATCGTTGCAACTTCGACTAGCACTGCACCAAACTGTCACCTGTAAGTTCTCCTTATTCGTTTACTCTTATAAAACCCCTATTTCATTGTTACTCTTATAAAACTCCTATTTCATATTTGATTAATGAAACAAAAATGGTGTTTTCGGTAGAAAGAAAAAGAATATCATGTTTCATATCCGTTTACTTTCTTTGTCTGTAGAAAGAAAACGAAAGTCAGTAACCCTCTATCGTGTTTTCGGTCCTTCTTAAAGGTTTAAGAATTTGGTATTTAATTGAAAATTTATTTTAGGATGAATAATTAAATGTAGAGTAATGCAACCAACAATCACAATGATCTCAATTGCTTAATTTTTTTCCTAATTTTTTTGATGAATAATTTTTCCTACAAATTTGTCTTTGGTTACAGAGCTATTAGCCTGTTGATAGGCACTACCTTATCGCATATACATATTGTACTCTATCTTGTTTTTTATTTTAATGAAAATTTTCTTTTACTTATCAAAAACAAAGCTATTAGCCAGTTGATGATGACTAGTTAACTGACATACGAGTTTACGGAGAGAGAGAGATTTATTCTAAAAAACTCTTGGAACAACAAATAGTCAACGATCATGAAGAGCTCAAACTTCCATTGAAATCTTCTGTGGTTAGGGAACTATGTATTAGTTTTTTTGATGGATAGGACTATCACCTCTCTTCAATGGGTTTCTGTCTTGAGATTTCTTCCTACAAAAGAAACTATGCATGTTCAGTTTCTATCATGCCAAATACACAACCACAACTTTAAGACAACAGTGGGAGCTACAAATTTTTTTCTTCCTCTGTTGTCCTCTTTAAAATTAATTATCCATAATATCCTAATTAGTTCCACTAATTTTAATCCTTTTCTTCCTATCAGATTTCTCAAACAATATTAGTAGCTAGATCAGCTTGGGCAGTAATTCCTTTGGCGATAATCTGGGCTACATGGAAGGGCTGAAATTCTCGACTTTTTGACAAAAAAAAAACTTAGTGGGATCTGTAATTAATTTAGCTTTTAGCTTGATTAGGGACTAGCTCTGCACTAGCAATATTTATAGTAGAGAGTTCTGCCATTCTTTTTTGTCTATAGACTTTTTTGAATCTCATTAAGTGGTTCTTTATATAATACATTACCTTACCTTTTTCAGAAACAAATATGTTTAATATACTTATTCAAATTCAGAAAATAGGACATCTAGTCATTTTGGTTGATTGGCCTCTACTAGGAAACCGAGATCTTAATATTCCTACTTTCTATTCTAGACAAATATCACCATTCTAAAATATTTGGTGGTGATTAATCAGAACTTGCTCCTACCAAGGCAACTAGTTCAATTTTTCTGTTATTTCACGAAGGCAACCAATTCTAGAATAGTTTTACATGGACACAGATGTGGGAATCAGAACCTGACACATATCTGGGAGCCTAACTTGCCAAGACAAAAGAAAAGCAAGGACCATGGACACATCTGTAAAAAAGTATAAACTATTAAAATAGTCCATATGCAGTTAAGTTTTAACATTATAAGAAAGTTTAAAAGATTATCTTTCTTAATAACATTTTGTAGGAAAAGTGGCATCAATTGTATACATTAGCTATCATTTATGTTGAATAAGCAAAGAGAAAAAGAAATATGTTGCATAGGAGTGTCCTTTGAGAATCCAAGGACTGCCAAAGTCTGATGCTTGTCTAACAATGACACTTCATCTATTTACGAGGTTCCATGCAATGCTGCTTTAGAATGATTAATTGAAACTAGTTCTTTATTTTCTTTCAAATGCTTGCTAGATGCTTCTTGACCAAGTTTGTGTTTGTTTCTTTTACTCATCTTTTGATCAATATTTGTTTCTTCTACTCATGGTATCAAAATAAATTTAGAGAACTCATTAGTAAATACGATAAATATGCTTCCCAGGTTCCATGGTCAGATTATGTATAAGTTTTTATGCCCAAGTTCCATAAGGACTTAATTTTGAGCTTAGCTCAGATACATAAACTTGCTCCCTTCAGCAAGTTGATTGTGCCTACATTTTGACAAAAAAAGCCATCCGGATGTTTAAGAAGTTTGTGCTAGAAGCAACTTTGTGGGGATTAGTGAACTTCTGATTTGGAAAGGCCTCAGTAACTTCATTAAGATTGTCTTGAAGAATAGAATGCTTTTGAGTCAGTTGTCAACACTTACTTTAGTGCTTTTACATTTGCCATCATAATCTATCAAGTTTTGTTTATTCCTTGAATATCCAGCACCTGTAGAAGGGAAGAAAAAAAATCAGCTTTGGCATGTGAAATAGAATTGTTGAAGGACATAAAACAAATCTGCATATAACATTGGTTAAGATAGTAATGTCGTAGGTTATTATGCAGGTTATTATTTATCATTCGAATCCAAACAGATTCTGCATTCTACTTCCTACTTCTTGAGGAGCCACTAGCCTGGTACACTCCCCATGTAAGGTTAAAATTGTTTGAACTTTTTCTCCATGTAAAGTTAAAATTGTTTCCATGGGTAGCATATAGATGAGTTCTAATCCAGTTTTTCTACTATGGATATAATTCTGGTTATTTTTTGATCAATGACATATTTCTAGTTCTTTATTTAGAACATGAGATTTTGGAATTTCAGAAATTGTAACATTTGTGTTTATAAACCATGATGAATTGAACACCTAACCAAGTTTTGTGTTTCAAAAACAATTAAAACATGAAGTCAACACTCCACTGAAGCCCCAAAGATTTCATTGTTTTAAATATCATAACATATGCCACACTTTATATCTTCACTAAGTCAAACTAGTATTACAGTTTTATGTTAGAGCCTTTGATATGTAAGTAATTTCCTGACTTATATATAATGGTAATTTAGGCTAGGGCCAGTCATAGTGGCCTGGAACATTGTTAAATGTTAGTATATGGCAATAAATTTTATGTTGTATGTATGATGGGCTTACAAAAGAAAATAATAATTAAATTTCATTGTTGTATTACTCACATATAAGAACTAATATTAACAAACTCTATAGGATGGACTTAAGTTGAAGATTAGATCCAGGTATATTCAGATTGAAACACAATTTGAAGTAACTACAAACTATATTAATAGAAATAGGAAAACAGGAAAAGAATGTTATTTCAGATACGGAATGGTCATATTCTATTCTGGGACACAAATTCTTTCCACTCTTCTTGATCAATCTTTCCATCGCCTTTTGAGTCCACTTCTTTAAATGTCTTTCATAAATGTAAAGGGAAAGATAGCTTAAAACATAACATGATCATATTTTTTGTGAAAAAACTTCTAACCATTGTTAAAAATAACCAATCCTTACCTAATCAACAATTGCTTCTACAATGTCATCTGAGAGGATCACTTCAGATTCATCAAGAGGTGCCAAAACCATTTCCTTGACCTTCCTCCATGCATGTTTAAAAGAATAAGGACTTCCAATTTTATTTCTAGAAACACAATTTAGTGATTAGGGATTCTAAATATATGTTGGTTGTTCATATTTACAGAGGCTACTTAAAGCTTTGAGGGAAAGAAGAATCAAGTTCTTAGAAACTTGATTGGGTGCTTAAAATATTAAACTCAAGAAATTTTGTCACTGAATTCCTTGTCAACACCCAATTCTGTAGGATTTAGTCTTGGTCTATAGTTTTTAAAACGTGAATGTTCTAAACATGGTTTGAACTTTTTCTCCATGTAAGGTTAAAATTGTTTCCAAGGGTAGCATATAGAGTTCTAATCCAGTTTTTCTACTATGGATATAATTCTGGTTATTTTTTTATCAGTGGCATATTTCTAGTTCTTTATTAGCAATGCAACATTGTAGACATAACCACATATCATATAAGAGGTATCCTTGGAGCATTACTACTAAAGTCATAGTAGATATTGCTGTCACAGGACAGGAACCCAACCATGTTATTTTTAATATCATCACAACCCAACCATGCTGTCACGTCACAGGAGGTGGGTGTTGAAGGCAGAGGACAAAGAAGGATTTATATTAAGAATTTTATAATAATCTAAAAAATCTTTAATAAGGATCTTACCAATTAGTAGCCTTTTTTTAATATGATTAGTAATTCATCTATAAATTCTTCTTATATAAAAAGATAAGAAATGGGATTTAGAAAACAACTAAATTTTAGTTTTTAATTCCTTGTTCAAGAATGGCTCTATATCTTTGCTAAATAAGACCAAAGTCCAGAATAAAATTGGAGAAGATAGATAAGAAATTGGTGCATTTTAGACACTGCCAACTAATTTAGATAAAAGGGAACCAAAAAGTATGAAAGGTAAATAAGATATGCATATCATCTGAGAACTCTCTCCCCCCAATTTGTGTACACTCGCATACTTTATTGGCTAGCTTCCACTTTCCAGTAACCATTGTTCCTTGAAAGTGACCAAACATAGTTTTTGTTTCTGAGATGACATTTCTGAATGATAAAAAAATTCTGTGTATCTGAGAACTTTCCCATCCATATCAGTCTCACAGAACAATGATCAAACATAGTTTTTCCCCATTCCAGGCTAAAATCTCAAGCTTCTACAATAGAAAATCCTCCCAGGCTCCCAAAGCACCAAAGTATAAGCATTTCTTTCTAGAATTAATAAAAAAGAATGCCCAATTCAGTCTTCTACACATTCAGAATCTCTGAACTCTAGTTTCCCTCCGCATCTTTCCTTTTCCGCCTCCTTCATTTTTTCTCAAATCCAAAGCCTCTGCCACTATAAACTAAAAAATAATAGAAATTCCGGAACCAAAACTAGCTTTTTGATATTAAAAAAGTAAATCTTTTCGTGATGGTTCACCAACACAAATAAAGAAGCCAGGGGGATGCAGAGTCCACCTAAATGACATGTTTATAACTTATCTAGCTAGAGAATTAATCAAGACATTAGTGGAATGTGGAGTCCACCTAAATGACATGTTTATAACTTATCTAGCTAGAGAATTAATCAAGACATTAGTGGAATGTGGAGTCCACCTAAATTAGTTGTTCAAGCGGGCAGCCATAGCCTTAGGGGCTGTTCAATAAGAGTTGAAGATTCTGAACTGAAAAGCTTATCATTTTGTTTGCCATAGCCTTAGAATTTTGCGATGGTAGGATGAAAACAATTAGAATTGAAAAGATTGAATAACTCCTTGACTCCTCACTATAGTAGGATGTAAACAATTAGAACTAAACAACCGATTATATGGTATTATAGGCTATAGCTCAAACTCTTTGTGTAGTTTATGTTCTCTAACATAACTCTTCTCTTAGTTAGGAGTATATTATATTGTTTGTCAAGTTCATATGTTGTATTTGATTGTGTTCACTCCACCCACTCGAATTCTACAGAAATATATGGCAATCCAAGTAGATAAAATGCAAGAGGAAATATCAAATGAATTTGCGACATGGTGTGAGGCTGAGGAAATGACTTTCATAGACTTGATGGTTGAGCAAGTAAAAGCACACAATAGGCCAACATTAACTTTTAATTTGGAAGGTTGGAAAAATATTGTGGAGAAATTCAACCAGATGCACCACAAGTCATATAGTTGAGATTAGTTTAAGAATAAATTTCACCATCTGAAGAAAAAGTTAAATGATTGTCAAAAAATTTGCAACCATACAGGGGTCACCATAGATCCAATAACAAAGAAACCAAGCGCTAGACCGTTGGCTACAGACAACATGACTTGCATTGTCATGTTGTGCCCTGTCATGACCCGTAAACCATCAAACTGGTCGGGTTGGGCTGGGCCAACTCAAAATCGTGTTGGGCTGTGAAGGGCCGCAGACGGAATGACCCAATATACACCTCTAGATATTGGGATGGATAGTTTGTTCCTGGTTTCAAATCTTAAGCTAAGGACAGAGGAGCAGGTTTGAGGTCTAGGCTTCAAATTCTTTAGGATTTCAAGTGAATAGGGGCACTACAGAGGTTGGAAAATACTTTTTTAGGTTTTTCTTTCCTCAACCTTGAGTTGGGTCTCTATTTATGGAGAAAAGGGGGAAAACAATTCTAAATCTCATCTAGCTATAGGGCTTGCGGATTTAATAGTTTTTTTTTTTTCATTCAAAAGGGTAAAGATTTTGAGAGGAAAAGGCCTATAGTTGATCTTTCCTTCTTTGTGCAACATTTTATCTTAAATTTGGATGGTTTTCTATGTCTTTTATGCATCCAATGGGATCTTGGGGTATGCTAAACACTGCAGTCTCGTATTTGGGGCTGTTAGTAGCAAAAAATGTAAATTTGATTTGCCTATAAATGCTATTTTATCTTTTCTTAACTTTAAATGGGGGTATATTTGGGTTTTGGGGCTTTTTATGTCTACTTGGCTTAATTTTATTAGTCTAGGTGTTTTAATAGGTCAAGTAAGGGGCTGATGTCAGTCCCCACCCTCTTGAGGTCCCATATTGGGGCAACTGATGCGGCTATTTAATCTAACATGTTGAAACGAAATCTTTCTAGTTTAACAGTTAAACAAGCGAATTATGCTGCAAAATTTGACATATAGAGGTTTTTTGGGTATCTGAACATGGTGGTGGGGTTTGATTGATAAAATAAAGCTTGGATGAAGGAGATATATGGCTGGTATGCTCTTAATCAATGAGATTTGCTGAAATAGAATCTTAACTCGATAGAGGGTCAAGCAAGGGAATTTTGAGATGAAATTTGGTGGGTAGCCATTTGGAATGTCATGGCTTTGATGGAAATGATGAATCTTTGATCAATGTTGTGGATTGACATATTTGAATTGATCAGGTCTTAGTTTATAGTTTATCAATTAACGAAAAGGCCCAGAATGGAATCTTACTTATTTAATGGTCAAACGGTAAAGTATGGTCATGAAATTTGACGTGTTGGGAATTTTTGGGTTTCTAAACATGGTGGTGTGGTCAAATTAGTTAGATAAATCTTGGATGATGGAGATCTATGATTGGGTTGCTCTTAATCAATGAACTTTTTTGAAATAGAATCTTGGCTTGATGGAAGGTTGAATTGAGGGAGTTTGGGTTGAAATTTGGTAAAGTGGTATGAATTTGAATTATGAGACTGTTGGGAGATTTGATCACATAAGGGATGTATGGATTTATGGGTTTTGGGCTCGAGAAGTATCATATTATTAAACGCGTTGAAGAAGTGTCTTTAATGGATGAGTAGAAAAAGCAAGGAGTTCAGGGCTAAAATTTGGTGTGATTGGATGTTTAAATGTTTTGTTCCACTTGATGGAGTCTAATCAGGGGATCAGCATGGTGATGTGGTACAATCGTGATCATTGGGAGGAAATCTTGTAAATCGAATGGTGGATTTAATGGTATTTGAGCCAAGATCTACTTTCTTGGGGGTTTTGACACCATTTAAAGAGATTAGTGAGGTTTGATCGGGCATCCGGAATGTGGGAAGTGAGTTAGATAAGGGCTCAAGCAAAAATTGGGTGTTGATAATAATCAAACAAGTGTTTGGGGTGCATATTGAAGATATAAAGTTTTTTGATTATTAGTATTATTCTTTGAAATCTAAATTGTTGGATAAATTCATGGAAATTTTGTTACGTGAAAATGCTGAGCTAAAAGCATGAAATTGCTAGACTTTCTAACGCCTCAAAGTAAAGAGTGTGAAACACTAACTCCACCTGCTATTTTTTTTTTGTCTACATTTTAGCATAAGTGATCCTTTTTTTTTTGTGAATTAGTGGTTTAAACCTGGCTTTATGAACTACCTTCATCTTTATATAAACTACCATGTTGTCAAATTTAATTTTTATGACTTACACTAAAACCAATGCAAGTTTCTAAATTGTAATAGTATAGATTTGGTTTGTCACACTTAGATTTGCTTAATTTGCAAAATAATTTATGATATTTATGTTTACTTCTTCTTATTATACCCATTATTAAGTAAACATATATGTTAATTTTGTTTTTTGATAGGCAAATAAAACTTAACAATGAAAGAAAATTACAAGCATGAAGCTACAACCATTCTAGAGCCAAATCCCACCAAGTAATCATAGTATAAAAAATCTTCGCTTTTTGAGAAACAGTATGAGCCCCTAATGTCCAAGACCGAGGTTTAAAAACTAAACTTTACAGAATTAAAACTATTAATTAAGGGTCCATTTGGTTCGTAGTTGGAATTGGAATCAAAATCTTTTGGAATTGGAATTAGAATGGTCTATTCCCATAGTTTGTTTGGTTCAGATTGGAATCAAAATGGGAATTGGAATCAGCTAGAATGGGAGAACTATTAAATCGACTACTCTTATTGGGGCTAAGGCTGAGTCTGGATCTGCTCCTCACACCGACCTCAAAGCATATACTAGCTGCACATCGGAAACATCAGATGTTCTCAATACGCGGTGGGATGTGGCTGTGAGGTTAGTGTGAGGAGGGCTCTATGAGGAGCAGATCCCAATTCGGTAAGGCTCAACAAAGTCTGTCTCCCAGGCTAGGTTTCATAATATTATAGGTAGTGTTTTCAAATCGCCATTAGCTTAAGCGGTTGGACCATTTGGCTTAGGAACCATCCAGGCAATTAGTTCCATTTCACCCTTAACCCGTTCCTGGTCTAAAAACTGTTGACTTGGTTAGAGAATTGTTGACCTGAGCGATCGAACCATCAACCCGTTTGACCTAAACAATGGTTCGCGATTAATAAGCAAAGGAGATTGAGAGATGTGGAGGGACAGACAATATGATCTCAGATCTAAGATCACCAGGATCTTAGAGAGATTGGAGAAGAGAAATCAAATCTCATATCTTAGAATTGAGATCTCAGTTCTCATATACGAGATCAGAGACAGATACAAAGGCTGCCACTTGTCATTGTGTTTCTGTTGTCATCGTTGTCATCGTTGTCATCACTGGTGAACCTTGTCGTCATCGTCGTTTCCTCCTCCTCCTCCTTCCCTCCTTCCCTCAATTCCTTTATTCCTTCCTTTCTTTTCCCTCCTTCCTTTCTTTCCTTTCTCTCCTTTCTTTCTTTCCTTCTTTTCTTTCTTTCAATAGACAATCACATATCTATCTTTCTTTTCTTATAAAACACTAAAAGTAATGAAGCATTAATATTCAAGTCTAATCAAACCACCTGAACTGTTCGACTCGGACGAACGAATTGTTGACCCAAAAATTGGTGGCCACAATGGTTCCGTTTCTGGGCCAGTTTTTAAAACCTTGATTACAGGTATTAGTTGATTCAACCATCCAGGATAGGTTTCTATTTGACCCAACCCAACAAAAATGGGTCTAAATGAGCCCAAGATAATGTTCCACACCACTCCACAAGCTCCACACCATTATTGTAGACCATGCAATGAATTCGGGGCTGTTTAGTTCCCTTGGGGTATATACAATAAACATTTGGAAAAATTCCTGATAGGTGCCTTGTACTTTAGGCCGAGTGCCAATTTAGTATCCAAACTTTAAAACGCGACAATCTAGTACCCGAACTTTCATTTTGCAACAATTTAGTACCTACCGTTAATAGACCATCAGTTATGTATATCACATGACCTCATGTGCGATTTAAGACTTTTAAAAATGTCAAAATTACCCTTGGGCACTATTCATCATCTTCTTTCTCAAGAAAATGAAACAGATCCCAAACACATTGTTCACCATCTTCTTTCTCAAGAAGACGTTTTGACTGGTTTACCTCCAATTAGTCGTAGTAGTAAATCTCTTGTCGTCAACAACTTCTTCTTCTCCGACTTGGGAGTCCTGCAAGAGGAGCCAAAGAAAATGGGGTTTGAGTGCACAATAAAATCATTGCACCAAGACATGAAATAAAAAGGAAATAAAAGAACGAGAGGGGAGAATCAACTATTGTGCGCTGGGGTGAGTATCGGTCAAAAAGGGGGCCGGTTCAGATCATCGGTGACATCGGAAAGCTGGTGCAGTTTTTGAATAAAATTTGAAGAAAAAAAAGAAAAGAGAAAGAGAGAGAGAGAGAAGAAGAAGAAGAAGATGAAGACAAGGAGAAATAACGAATGAGAAAAATGGAAAAAATAGAGAAATGATTTGACTAATCTTCAACCTTCACCTGGGTAGAAGTAGGACTACTATGCATGCAATCGAGCTAATGAGATGAGTGGTGGGATTCATCTATCTCAGTGCTTGAGCAAATCCAGCTGTCGGCTCCTTTAGTCATGGTGAGCTGCAGATTGGAGCGTTGTCGATCCTCCTGCTTGGGTCGATGGAGGGGTGGGCTGGGTGCTGAATTGGAGGGTGGATGGAGGTGGTGGTGGTTGTGTTCTACAAGGGGAAGATCAGAGTGAGGGTGCAATGACCGTTTTGGTTCTGAAGATGGTACAAGGGAAGGTGGTGGTGGTTGGGGCGTGGAAGAGGTGAGATCTGGTGCTACAGGTGTAAGTTGAGGAGGGGACAACGACGATGACGAGAGCGGTGGAGGATGAGGAGACGGTGGTGCTGGCCATCGCTTTTTGATCTTCATCGTCGACGGAGTGGATGGAGAAAGAAAGTGAGGGAGAAGATGAGAGACGAGAGATGAGGACAACTTCGGCAGCGTCTGCAACGATGATTAATATTTATCAAACTTGGTTTTATCCCTTTCTTTGAATTGGTATCAGATACCGTCACCGGCAGTCTACCAAGTGATCTTACTATCGTTCTGAGGGATTTGTCTGCTGAGGTTATTATGCCTGAAATCGAAGCTTACCGTCATCGGCAGTCTGCCGAGTGATCTTGGGATCTCGTCGGATGTTTTGAGATCAGTTGGATCGATCCGTTGAATTTGTTTAACGATAAATCAAGTTGAACCAAGTTGTTATCAGAGAATTTGTTGGGTACTAGAGTTGATCAATTGGGCCAAATTCCGTCGGGAATCTTGCTAGAGAATTTGTTACTGGAGAGAACAAGCCTTTGCAGCTGAAGGTAGGGGAGATGGTAGATTGAAGGGCATTTTTGTCTTTTTGTATGTCACCAAACGATTGGTTAACGTCGGGTAATAGATTGTCACAAAATGAAAGTTTGAGTACTAGATTATTGCGTTTTAAAGTTTGGGTACTAAATTGGCACTTGGCTAAAATATAAAATACCTTAGGGAATTTTCCTTGAACATTTTGTGTGACATCTTGAAAAAGGAGAAAAATGGTTAAAAATAATTTTTGATGTTTTTCAACGGTTAGACACCATTAGACATCATTGAGCAGCAAGATAAATAATGCAAAAAAACACCTTAATGTTGGAGAAACCATTAAAAAAATCTTTCCCTAAATTATGGTTCTCATACAAAATGAGACAAATGCTTATTTGATTAATAATTAAATCAAAATCATTGCAAACTGTATTGAAGAAATACCTATATGGCGCTGAAGTCACACTTTTTTTTTTTTTTTTGATAAAATGAGGAAGTTTATACAACAGGAGAATAAGCAAGACCAAAAATGTCAGCTAAAACTAAGAATTGAAACGACGTCGAAACTGAGCTTGATCCATGCAGCACTCCACTGTGAATTGACACCACTTCTCATAAATGATAACAAAATGTCAAAATACAGCTAAAATGAAGTGGCTCAACATGCAATTAAAGATATTTATGGGAAGTCAAGCTCATCCTTGTAGCTAAGCTAATTATTGATAGAATGCGTGACGCTGACGACAAGAAATGTGGCTGGCTGCTGACGGGAAGAGAAAGATTTTTAAATTAGACTTTGTGCATTGTAACGGGATTTATTCCTCATAGGGGCGGCTCACAGTCACATCCACCGTGCATTGGGAATATCTCCCATAAATAGAGGAGATATGTTCATGCATGTAAGGTTGGTGTGAGGCGTCCTCTGTGAGTAGCAGATCATTTCACATCGGCTTGCGGCTTGTTCTACTTGGGATCTCCTGTTCACAAGAACTTTGTCCATTTCTACCCATGATATATTATTTCTGTGTATTGAAAATATCTTCTGTGCATAATATTATGTAAGAGGATGAAATATTCTCCATGTATGATGAGCCCACCGCCAGCCATGGATGGTTGTTCAGTCGTGAACGAGTTAAGAAATGCTTACTACATTTTTTTCACCAAAAGGGAAAGAACAAACGCTTTACCTGACAAGCCCAACAAGTCAACATTCAACATGAAAGCAATGTTGGATTGAGCAAAAGATTAGAAGATTTAGAGGGCGTTAATGAATTGTTTTTCTTTCTAGATTCCAAAAATAAATCAAAACTATCTTGTTTAAAAATAGATTGTTTTTTGTTTCTTAAAATAAAAATATAAAAAATATGTTCTTGGTTGTGCGTTTTGTACTTTTGTTTTTAAAAAAATTGAACTAAAAATAGGTTGTTGAATCTGGTTTCAAAAAACATGTTTTTATCTGATTATTTAGCATCATGTTCCATAAATCATATAATTTTTATATTAAAAAATTTGTTTTGTTTTGAAAATCGATATTTCGTTGGTTCCAAAAATATGTATTGTTTTTTGAAATAAAACCAATTTATTTTTTCCTTTGAAAATAAGACAGAGTTTAAGAACATGTTTTTTTCTAGACTGCTACAGTGATTTCAAAAACAAATGAAAACGAAAACATTATATTGTAGAAGACCCCTTAGTTTCTTAATTGAATTGGTTGTACGTGAGCTTAAATAATTTCATATTTATTTATTTTTTGTTTTAAAATTTAAAGAAAAATACAAAAATTCTAAAGGAGTTGAGAATCAATATGAGGATTCTGACGTGGACAACTCCATTCTAGAATATAGCATATATATTAGACTAAGACACAATCTGTTTTAAAATCCAAGTGGACAATTGAAGACATTAATTAGAAGCAAAATATTATTCATTGAATGAATATTAAAAACTGATTAATTAATAATAAATTATAATGCATGTGGATTAATTAATACGAGTGACCAGGTGGGTCCCACCACTTATTCTAATTCGGTGTTTGTCATGGGCCCACTCACATAGGAACACACTAGGGTGATCATGGCCCCCGCCGGGCTTAGCACTTATTCTAATAGGTTTCATTATTGTATAATTTTGGTTTATGGCAAACTCAAATGGAGGGATAGTATAATTAATTTGCAAAAACTGTTCAGCCTTTACGAGTAAATATGTGACTGGGGCCAACGTTTTAAAAAAGTCAAGGTAAGTGCTGTTATAATGTTTTCATAAAAGTGTTTTTATAAAAGTACTTTTGTAAAAGGATTTTTATAAAAGTTCTTTTGTAAAAGTGCTTTTATAAAAGTACTTTCGTAAAAGTGTTTTCATAAAAGTGTTTTTGTAAAAGTACTTTTATAAAAGTGCTTTCATAAAAGTGCTTTTATAAACATAAAAGTGCTTTTATAAACATAAATGTGCTTTTATAAACATAAAAGTGCTTTTATAAAAGTACTTTCATAAAAGTTCCCTTATAAACGTATTTTCATAAGAGTACTTTTATAAAAAATACTTTCATAAAAGTACTTTTGTGAAACTACTTTCATGTTAAAGTACTTTTATGAAAGTGTTTTCATAAAAGTACTTTACTTTTGTAGAAGTACTTTTCATAAAATTACTTTTATGAAAGTGCTTTTGTAAAATTGATATTGTAAAATGATATAATTGGTATTCTAAAGATTTATAATGGATAATTTTGGGAGTAAAAATTTGAATAAATGCTTATTGTATAACCACTTAAAAAAATGTGGAAATTTGGACTTAAAAATAAACCCTTATTTTTAAAATAAGCACTTATTTCAGACTTATTTTCCAAACACCAATAATTTCTTAATGGTATCTTCTCCCCAAATAAACATTTGTTTCACATAAGCACTCCCAAACATGACCTATATTAAACCTCATATAATACATATATAACATCTATATTAATATAATATGAATTATATTTTATACATTATAAGTATAACATATAATATAAAATATTATACACATTTATGTATAAATAATCCTATTCAAAAAAAAATTATGTATAAATAACATGTATTAATATGTGTAGACCATGCCGAACTCAAATGGAGGAGGGATGGTATAATAAATTTTCTGAAACTTTTCAGCCTATACGAGTAAATATGTGACTGGGGCCAAGCCTAAAGTATTGGGCCAGATCCGATCCAAAATTTAAAATTACCCTTTTCGTCCAAAATTTAAAAATACATTCAACAAAATTTCCACAAAAGACATCGTTAATCTTATTTTTTTCCAAAAAGTTTTGATCTTTAATTCAGCGCTTGATTAAGTCCTCAAAGGACCTCAATCCCATGTGCTTTCTTTATTAACAAAAATAAATAAAAATTAATATTACTCCCTCTCTCTGTCTCGCACGTGCAATACATGTGCAAGCGCGATTGGAGATTTGGTTGAATTGAATTTAAAGCCGAGTCCAGATTAAGTTCTTCGGGTTCAAGTTCCAGCCTTGATCTGCGTGTTACATGGAGGACCCCCACATCCTAGAGCCTTTCATCCCCGCCACCACCACCGCCGCCGCCACTGCCACTCCGACGACCGCCATCGATACCTCGTCGAGCTCTCCAATCATATCCCGCCTGCTTTTACTCTTCTTTATTGGACTTCTCTCTATATGGGCAAACTATGAAGCCTCCAAAGGTTTCGAGGTCAACGTCATCAACGAAGCTGACGATACTCCCGCAGGCCGTCGGTTCGCACTCTTCTTCGTCTCGAACGACAAGATAACTCGAATTGTCCTTAACACAAGTCAATTCGCCGAGAAGATTCTGTATCCCGACGACAGCTTCCCCAAGAAGCCGGTTAACCGTGTTGTCATCCGGTTCTCCAGTCGGAAAATGAGTCACCCAGTCGTCGTCGAGTCTAAGGAGAAGGACGAGTTCGTTCTTCATATTAGCCCGTCTGTAATGGAGGATGAAAAGGTCGAGAAGGCGATGGTGTCGGCAGTTCAACGTGGAATGGCTCGTCTTTGGATTTGGGGTGGAGAGAAGGGTGCACCGACGTCCCTTCTAGATGGCATGGTCGAGTATATCAGCATCTCTGCGGGGTTCCCCCACTTGCCGGATTCCGGCAACGGCTTACGGTTGCCGGAGTCGAACTCTACTTGTTGGGATGATAAGGATAGTACTGCCGTGGCAAACTTCTTGAATTATTGTGAGGGAATCAGGAATGGGTTCATCGGACGGCTAAACCAAGCCATGCAGGACCCATGGCACAATCGAACGATGGATGATGCATTGGGGTTGCCAGCTCAGACACTTTGTTCATCGTATTATTCGAGTTCGACGGTTAAGATTTCGAAGACAGTGGGTCCCATGTCATTGCCACCATTGAGACAAGTCAGCTGAGTTGACACGTTGCTAAGTTGCTTCACTATCACAACCAGCACCGCCAATGATGTGGCTGTTTTGTACAATCCCTGGGCCAGATTGATCCAAGCGCAAGAGTTGGACTGGTTAATTTGGTTAAGGATGTGGGCCCTCAGTAAAGGATAAGGTTGGACGATCACAATATCTGGCTGGGGATGGATGATGATGATGATGAGCGGCTGATGTAATGTAGCACTACAAATTTCATTTGTCAATGATTTATCATTTATAAGTAAGTTTGTATTTATCTCCATCCAATACCAAGTAATAAGTAATAAGTAATAAGAAAGAGTGTGTTATATGTGGGCCCCGGGGCATTTGGGATCTATGGCCCATACGTCGCCATTCTGAATATAAGGATGATCAGCATCCACATTGTATAGGTCCCACCTAAGAATGTGTAGTAGCTTTTTTCAATCATCTTTTATTCTAATCATGTGGAAACCGATGTTTCAATCTCATTCCTGGCCCAATTTATATTCTTCAACGATGATCGATCCTGACCCTAGGATTGTACGATATTGAGATCGAAAACTTGTAAGGGCCCAACCTGTTTATTGGGTCCTCTTACCTGGGCCCATTGATAAAAATATTAAAATATTAAATGATTCAATAATTTAATAATTAAAATATATAATTAATTTTTTTGGAAGAATGGCAGCATAATTTAAGTACATTTGGAATAGATGTCAACTCGAAATTAATGTCAATTTACGGACGAATATAAATGCATAAAATGTGATTTTTGGACTTATCACTGTGTAATGGGAATTAAAATATTTGCATTAAACTTGTCCGTTCTTTTCCATTTTTTTTTTTTTTGGTTTGAGAGAAATACTTTGTGTGATGGGGATAGACGGATAGCTGCAGTATAGTACGTTGATTCTTAGCAATATAATCGGTATGAATTCATAGAGAAATAGTAGAATATGTATTGCATAATCATGGAAATAACATAATACATAATCAATAGGCCTGGCTGTATTTAAAACCCAGCTCAGCCGCCGGGCTGGGCATGATACATTAATACATAGATCAGCAAAATATGAATTGGGATCTGCTCGGCACTGAGCGCGCCTCACATCAATGTCACAGCCACACCCCATCTTATATTAAGAACATTTTCATATGAATAATAAACACAATTATGGGAGACACCTCATCTTGTATTGAGAATATTTTCATATAAATAATAAATACAACTATGGGAGATTTTCTTGATGTGCGGCCAGGACAATTGTATATTCATGAATGATAACATATGTGTTCTTAATGTAACTGTAGTGACTAGTGAAGCGTGGTAAGGTTTTTGTGGATAGGAAATCTGAATTTGCTCAATTCAAAGCTATAATTCTCAGAGAGAGAGGTGTTACGGAATTCATGTCTGATTCACAAAATGTATCAACCTTCAACCACAGCCACAAAAATCTCATTCACAGAAAAGCGATGATAATAAAGACACCTCATATTTTGGCTGTTGGGGCCCAACAGTATAGGCTGTTGAGACAGTTTCTGGGCTAGGCATGTTCTCGGCAGTTCACTTATTCACGCCCATGCTTTGGTTTTTAATAAAATTAAATTAATATGTAATTATTAATTTATCCATTCTCGTGGTAACGTAGCATTCATAGAAATCCTCTCAACAGCATAGGCTGTTGGCCCCCAACAGCTAAAGCTTTTCCACCAGGGGCAGGTGTGGGGTGGGGTTAACTTTAGCTGTTGGGCCCCAACAGCATAGGCTGTTGAGACAGTTTCTGGGCTGGACACGTTCTAGGCAGTTCACCTATTCACGCCCATGCTTTGGTTTTTAGTAAAAATAAAGTAATATATAATTACTAATTTATCCATTCTCATTATAACGTGACATTCTCATAAATTCTCTCAACAGCATAGACTGTAAGCCCCCAACAGTTAAAGTTTTTTCCATGGGGTGGGGGAGGGGGAGCCCAATCCACACCTAAATCTGTGCATCAACCTACCAAAGACCTTACCAATTGAGCCATTTGGCTCTTAACTGACGGGTTTCTAATCCCATACCCGTCAATCAAGTTGGGTTGTAAGCAGGGGAGTTAGGATTTTTAGTTAGAGGGACAAAAGCTAATAAATATGGCGTACCACTCTACCATTAACCCTGAAAAATCATACAGTGTTAGATGTATTGATGCAGCCCCATCTTTGAATTAGAATTAGATGAAGTAGCTTTTGAGCTGAGGCCACTAACTGATGAATGGTCCAGTTGGCAGTTGATACATTAGCTGGTTTGTTTGTTCCAGACTTATAGCAGATATGCTAATTGAATATCGACTGCATGCATAATAGATAAAGTAAAAAATCAATGCACAATAAAAGTTTTGGGAAAATCCCCCGATTAATATTTTGGACTTTGGCCTAGTGCCATTTTGGTTTCTAAACTTTAAAATGCAACAATTCAGTATCCAAACTTTTAAAATATGACAATCCATTACATGTCATTAACTAGTTGTTAACCAGCTGTTAAGTGGCATTTGAAAAAAGATACAAATGCCCTTTGAGTGTAATCTAATTTTCTTTGTCAACCATCCAAATATTGACAAAAAAAATAACAGTCTCAAATCCTTGCCTCTTCTATTCAAGAAAGCTGGGGTCATTAAAATGCCAAGTTAAACGTGACTCCAACTTTCTTGAATGGAAAAGACAAAGATTTGTGACTATTAATTTTTTGTCAATGTTTAGATGGTTGAAAAAGAAAATTAAATAACACTTAAAGCGTATTTGTATCTTTTTCAAATGTCATTTAATTGGTTGGTATTGAATTGTTATGTTTTAAAAGTTTGGGTACTGAATTGTCGCATTTTAAAGTAAAGTTCAGGGATCAAAGTGACACTAGACCCAAATTACAGGGTACTAATTGGGAATTTTTCCAAAAGTTTTTCTTGTCTTTTTTTCTTCTTTTTTTTTTCAGAAAAAAGGCCATAAGCAACAATTGGCCACAAGACACTAAAGTTGTACATTAGGAATATCTACCCATGAATGAATGATAACATGTAAGTGTGGAAGATGTTCAGCTATAATGAGACCCAACTCCACAGGCAATTAATCAGGAATGCAAGACCATGTCTTTATACAAATATCATAATGAACAACTTTGGGGAAGTTCTATAATGTGAACTGTTTTTATTGCTGCTGGTTTCAAAATCAAATCAAAACCATTTCGTTTGAAAACAGATTGTTTTTTTAAAATAAAAACACAAAAAACATGTTCTTAGTTGTGCGTGCTTTGTTTTCAAAAGTAAAACCAAGAACATGTTTTCATCTTATTATTAAATATCATGTTTTATAAATCATATAATTTTCATACTAAAAAATTTATTTTTATTTTAAAAACCAATATTTTGTTAGTTCCAAAAATATATATTATATTTTGAAACAAAACTAATTTGTGTTTTTCCTTTTGAGAATAAAAACAAAGTTCAAAAACATTTGTTTTTCTTTTTCAAAAAACAAATGAAAACAAAAACATTCATGTTGTAGATTACCCCCGAGCCAACGATTTGCTATTCTAGGGACGTATCTAACCAGCAAGATGTAAGGTGATTCGTAGTGGTTATGCAATTTATGTAGCCAGTACGGTGGTTTCAAATTATCTATAAACAATGAATCCTGTTATTGAATGACAATAAAATACTTTTGCATGTTTCTCACCTACTATGTGCGGAACCACAAACAAACTCCACCGAAGGTTTAGTGTTGTAATTAAGCTTTAACTAAATATTTCTACAATTGTCAATTAATGATCTAACCTCTCAGGTGAAGAGCAGAATAATAGATTAATATAAACATCTTTTTTTTTTTAACCTCAAACTTTATTCTAAGTGGAGGGATGACCATCTAAAAATTTTATTAATCAGCCAATATCAAAGGAAAAATCATTTATAGGGAAGGATATAGCCCGCCTTGCCCGAAACCCAAAAATACAAGTATACCTCCTCGCCCACTCAACCCTACCCAATAGCAATACACATAATAGAGAAAACAAATAAAAAACAATAAACCTCCTAGGGTATGTTTGGTTCCGTGGCAGTTTCTTGAGAGGCATTTTTTAGATAAACATTTATCTTAAAAATGCTATTTTAAATGTTTTTTTTTTGTTTTTTCTATTTGGTTGGACATTTTATGCACATTTCAAGTAACACCCCATAAAGTTGCTTTCCACCTCAGATAAAGTGCGCCACATCAGCATTTTATTTCAAGAAATACCTAGGCATTGGGGGAAACATGAATTTGACATTTCCCCAAATGCTCTATGCACATAAATGTGGTGCCTAATAGTGTCTAGCTGCCAACAAATACGAGGAAAGCGCTTATCAACTACTTTTTCTCGGTTTTGAAGACAAATCAAGTACAAACATTTATTTAATAAACGGAATGAGGGGATGGCAGATCCATCATATGGATGGCCGAACCCTACAAGAAGATTGGGCGAAATTTCAAAAATTTCTTTTCTCCCATCCCGGAATCCTATTCCCAATTTAGGAAACTGCATTTTTAAGGTTCGTTCTTGAATCCAAAATCAGACCAGATCTGAAACCAATAGGAAGTGAGGGATATACCTGATACGAAGTAACAGTAACTCCCAAAACCCGCTTTCACTGAAAATGACATAGTGTGTAGTGAAGAAGGATCAGTAGGATGGTTCTTTAGCAAGAACCTGAATTCTTTAGCAAGAATCGGGCAAGGGCTTGCGAGCACGCCTTTAAATTGTTTCTTCTACCAAGAAACAATATCAAGAACTCTTCTTGATCAGATCCACAAGTGGGGATCGAATTGGGTAGGGCGGAAATAACTACGAAGAATTCTACAATTTACTATTGTTTGTTTTATTTGAAGAATTCACCCCTATTTATAGCCTTCTCTGGATCAGCCTCCTAATCTAATTAGGAGAGAGTTTCCTAATCCAAATCTTATATTTGGATTTGGACTCTTAAATGGATAAGACTTATCTTATCCTTTAGCTAGTCCTAATATGTTTAAAACTGAATTCGCCCTTTTTAATTAACTAACTTAAGCCCAGTTTGAATTGGGCCTTAGGCCCATTAAGCTTATGTGCTCACTTTCTCTTTAACCTGCTGCTCAATTGGCTCTCTTTGTATGGTGTGGGACCCTAACATTGATATACACATCAGCCACATGGGTTCAGCCCGGCCTTTGTTACAAGGCCTGGCCGAATTCGCTGTAGGAGACAGTGAACCCCTGAGTCAATCACCATGGGCTCTTAATGGGCCCAACATTTACACTAAATTGTTCTTAGATCCAACCACCTTATGAAAACGCAAGAACTGTGGGCAGATGCAATATTAGCCCATTAGGTATTACCCTCAATGGTCTTACACTTAACCTCTTAGCCCATAATGATCAAACACTGTCCGACAAGAGAGGACATCTCCCTTGGCTGCAAGGTACAGTGTTGCACTCTCTACTCACA